AGAGAATGCAGTCAGGAGGTGCAGAACATTTGAGAGGGAGGACGAGGAACCTGAGGGAGTTCACGTGTACCTGCTATCGTACATTATTGTCCCCAGGACCCATCACGAAGGGCAAAAAGCAGGTCTACTTTGTTGTATGTCATCCTCGTTATGCGGAGTACCTACCACAGCTCCTGGCACATAGTAGATGCTCAGTAAACACTGAGTGAATGAATGAAACAGGAAGAAAAGTAGTCTGCAGAGGATGACGGGCCTGGGAGCAGCGTTCGGGACTTGTGGAGGATATTTGATATTTGATACAGGTTTTGGTCTGCAGAACGTGGTAATGTTTCTCTTAAAGATGAATATCCAAATCTATAGCAAAATCTCTAATAAAGTACCATCTAAACTGACATAATCTCACTTTATCATAGAAAAAATAATTTTCTCTGGCAATACTTTGCAAGCTTTCTCATTAGAAATAAAAATTATGACTCCCAGTGATGACTTACGTCAACTTGGCTAGGCTGAACTAAGCCCTCACAGCTCCCTCTGTGAGACCGGTTGGATGGGCCTGGCTCTCACATTAGTGGATCAGTAGGGCTAATAGTGAGTGAAGGCACTAACACTTCCTTGCCTTCATGCCTGGACTCATGAATTGTGGCTACGAGAGAAACAGTAGCATATATCGGACACCGATTTAAAGCACATATCATATGGGGAGGGAGGCACTGCCTTATCCCTGCAAGGTGTTGCTACCTAGCTAGTACTGTAGCTGAGTCTTCAAAAGGTTACTCTAGCAGTCTATCCAGCCAGCTACTTCAAGATAATAGGGAACATGGCTAAACCAGTGAATTCCATGAGGATAGCCCCACTGCCACGTTTCATTTGTTGCAAAATTAGTTCCTTAGTCAGGAGTAATACTGTGTAAAAGAAATACCATGATGGTGGATAAGGCATTCTGTAAGTCCAGACTTCGGCAGAAGCATTGCATGCTGGGGAGACAAATCTGTTTTCATTGTGTCTGTTCCATTACGGAAAAGCATTGTCCCTTCCATGATGGAAGTAGCAGCATTATTCAAAATATCCAAGAAGTGGAAGCAACTCAAGTATTTATCAATTAATGAGTGTTTAAACAAAATGTGGTATATTCATACAGTGGAATGGTATTCAGCCATAATAGGAATAAAGTACTAATACATGCTACATGGATGAAATGTAGGCTTGAAAACATTAAATAAAAGCCAGACACAAAAGGCAATATATTATGTGATTTTATTTGTATGAAATGTCCAGAAATGACAAGCCCAGAGACAGAAAGATTAGTGGCTGCCATGGCCTAGAAGGAGGGGTAATAGGGAGTGACTGCTAAGAGTATGAAGTTTCTTTTTGGCATGATGGAAAAGTTCTGGAATTGCACAGAGGTGAAGACTGCACAACCTTGTGACTATACTAGGAACCCTTGAACTGAGTACTTAGGGTGAATTTTATGGTATGTGAACTGTATCTCAACTAAAAAATTGTTATGAGGAAAAAAATGTAAGTAACAGACTAGGGTCCAGGGGGGGAAAAGGAGAGAACATTCATCAAACAATGTGCATCGCACACATAAAATGGAACACTAGGCAGTCATTTCAGATAATATCCATGTTACACACGGGAGTTTTTAAAAATTGTTTAGTATTGGGACACCTGGGTGGCTCAGTCGCTTAAGCATCTGCCTTCAGCTCAGGTCATGATCCCAGGGTCCTGGGTTCGAGTCCCACCATCGGGCTCCTGGCTCAGTGGGAGCCTGCTTCTCTCTCTCCTCCCTGCTCATGCTCTCTTCTCACTATCTCTGTCTGTCTCTAAAAAAAAAAAAAAAAAAAAAAAAAAATATTGTTTGGTATTATCTTGATAAGACAACAAAAGAATCTGTTGTTTATCTTATGCACAGGGAATTTTCTAAAAAATATTACCATCTCCATATGAAAAAAAGAAAAGCAAAACTCTCGCTATGTTTAGTGTGAAATAAAAATATGTTTTGGTTAAAAAACAAAAACCAGGATTACAGGGATTGGCCAGAAGAATATCTGAATAATAGTACAAGTCATAATGGCTAATATTTATTGAGCTCTAATTCTAGTCCCAGTCGGCCACAACTCTATGGTGTAGATTTTTTTTTCAGATGAGGACACGGGGGGACAAAGAGATTGAGTAAGTTGCTCAAGGTCACAGATATCACTGGTAAAGCCAAGATCTGAACACAGGCAGGCCGACTTGAGGCTCCTCCCTTAAGCTACACCACTACTTCCTTGGGCAGTATTAATAAATAATAGTAAGACTCCCCAGTTCTCTGATGGAGACTTACAGTTAATAAGCCAGGCAGAGAAAAGCCTCCACTGCTGACAGAATCGTTTCGGGGAGAAACGGAAATGTTTCTGGTCTAGGCAAGACCTAGCCCGGTTTGTGGGCAGGTTAGCAGCAAGGTTGCATAGAAAGCCCCAGCCTGTTCACAGCTTGGACTCTGCCTGGCATTTGGGCCACCATCTGTATGGGCCCTGGGCCCTGTGGATCTCACTATTGGGTAAGTGTGGACGTGCCATTCTCCCCTGTACCCCAGGTTATAGTTGGAGGGCTGCCTGGAGGTTAGAGATTGAGGATCCTTCAGTACTTTTTATACAAGGACCTTGACTTGAATAACAGATTAAGTCTACGTGGTTAGGGGATCCAAGGAATATCTGAGCCACAAGGTCCCCAGTGGGGCAAAGTTTCAAGGGCAGTAGGAAGCAAGTTTTTGTTGGCTCAAGCTTGCCTCCAAACATCGAAGCTGAACTCGGGCCAGCCTGGGCTGCACTGCTTTGGCTGCTTCTCCTCCACAGTCCCCAAGGTCGTAAAGGCTGTTCTAGTCGGGCACCCGCTAGCATTGGAGGGGGGCAACCAGAGAGCCTGAGCTGGTGTTTGACACAGTCGGAGGCACACTTCACAGAAGGCTTTCTCCAAAATTATTTAAGCCTAAATAAACTGAGGACAGAACCAGCTGTGACTGGCTCTACTTCACTTCCTTTAATTAGAGTAAAGCTCACTTGTAACAAAAATTCAGAGGCTTGGGCGCCTGGGTGGCTCAGTCATTAAGCGTCTGCCTTCAGCTCAGGTCAGGATCCCAGGGTCCTGGGATCGAGCCCCATGTCAGGCGTCCTTGCTCAGCGGGGAGTCTGCTTCTCTCTCTCCCACTCCCCCTGCTTGGGTTCTCTCTCTCACTGTGTCTCTGTCAAATAAATAAAATCTTTTAAAAAAAAATTCAGAAGTTTAAGGAATACAAAAATTTATGTTTCGCTTAATGTGGCAAGTAATCCACTTGCCAGGGGCCTTGGCTCCTTCCAAGTTGCTGCTTTACCAGACTTTAGACTGAGCCTTGCTACCCAGAGGGTGATCCAAGGAAGCATCACCTGGAAACCTGTTGGAAACGTAAAATCTTAGGCTCCACCTCAGATCTCCTGTGGCAGCCGGAGCCAGTTACTTAACATGTGGGTCCCAATGCAAAATAAAAATGTGGAGATCCTTGTTCAGAAATTATTAAAAATTCCAAGATGGTGGTGGGACGCCTGGGTGGCTCAGTCGGTTAAGCGTCTGCCTTCGGCTCGGGTCATGATCCCAGGGTCCTGGGATCAAGCCCCGCATCGGGCTTCCTGCTCAGCAAGGAGCCTGCTTCTTCCTCTCCCTCTGCTTGTGCTCTCTCTCTCTCAAATATATACATAAATAAAATCTTTAAAAAAAATACTTAAAAAAAACAAACAAACCTGACACTAAGTCACTAAACCCAGGCTTTACCTATGGATAACAGGTATAAATATTGCCCACATCACTAGAGGGAAACATCAATTTGAATATTCACATTGATTCAGAGTTGCCCGTCTGGAAAAATGTATTACTTGGGCAAGATGGGAAAAACACTATCTGGGAAAACATTGTCTGTACTTAGGACACAGTGGTGCCAGTCTGTATTTTTCTAAGCCCTCTGGAAAGAATTACCAAGTAGGAATTTTTCCAGGCTGCTTCTGTGATCTGTATTTGATCCATTAGACCAGGGCTGACTGGAAACTCCAGACTCCACACAGCAGCACTGGGTTCCAACTCTGTAGTGTTATTCAGGAAGTTTAGGGGTATGCAGATTTCTTCTAAATGAAGGGTTAGGAAAAGCTCTGACCCCACTCTAAAGTTACTGTTTCCTGGTGCGAAGAGAGATTTCAGCCCCTTGTTTATGTTATCTGTAAAATAACCCAAATTGACATGTGGAATCTGAAGGCACCGAACCCCAATGGGATTTAGCAGGTGGGGGACTGGGGCGAAGGACACTTCAGGGTTTAAGCAGGGGTCCAACCAGAGGCCCACATGCAGAGTGTATCCACGAAACAGAGAATCCAGGATGAGAGACAAACTCTCGAACTGAGGAACTGAATTTGGAAACAAGTCAGAGAGGGCCTTCAATGACAAGCTCAAGGATTCGGGCTTTATTCTGAAAGCAGAGGGGAGCCACCGAAAGTTTCTGATTGGGAAGAGGTGTGACTAAGGCCGTGCCTCAAAAGGACAAGAACTCTGGCAGTGGACCTCTCATTAACTTCCCATGAGACCAAGACGGGTTTATCTGTAAACCAGGGTCACTCTCTACCTAAATCTAGCAACAATGTGGGGGTAGGAGGCCGGCTGAGGATTGTATTAGACCCTTGATCTACAGATCCCAGGCCTGGGGCAGGATCCCCGACTCAGTATTTTTCACAAGCTCCTGTGCTGACTCTAATGTGTGGCAGGGCTGTGAATCACCTGCCCTGGGTGATGCCTAGGTGCTTGTATTTTAGGGCGCTGAGACTGAGTGGTGGTGGCGGGTGGCGGGGGGAAGGCAGTGTTTACAAGTGAAGAAAGAAAGGTCACTAGGACTGCTCCGACTGTCTAGGCAGGCAAGAAGAAATGAGAACGTGGACTGGCAGCAAGAGAGATGGCGGGGGGGGGGGGGGAGGGCGGACGGGGAATGACCAGTGGAAACCACCACCAACACAGAACTGAGAGGATTTCCCTAGCGGTGGCTAGGGAAACGTAAATGAGGGTTGAGGAGGGGAGAGGCAAGGACGATCACAAGGTTTGGAGCCTTGGGCAGGACAGGGACATTTAACACATACAAGGACATTCTTACCTTCAGTTTTGGTGCTCCCACTCTCCCGGGTTCGTATGAACCAGCTTACCCGGGTCTGATCACTTCTGGGTGCAAGGATCTTCCAATCCTCTCACACAACAGCTAACACGTGTTCCTGGGCACCGTCACAAGCTTTACTGCCCTGCACTTTAGTCTCACGTGTCACCAAGAGATGGCTCTCCCTGTACTCTGTGCCAGGCGCCTGCTCCGTGCTTCACATTCATCACATTCATGACCTCCGTCACTTCTCAAACCATCCTGAGTGCTACTACCATCCCCATTGTTTAGAAGAGAAAACGGACACAGAGAAAAAAGTAACTTCCCCACAGTCATTTATAAGGAGACAGAGCAGCATTCAAAGCTAGACAGCCCTCCTCAGCACCAAGCTCTTAGCCACTACGCTACCCTGCAGCCTGTTGAAAGTGAGGCCACCATGAATCACTGTCTGTAATTTTTAGGCCAGTAAAAGATACAGGTTGTATTGGAAAACACTGCCTAATATCCAACTTGACTGTTCAAACTTCAGTGTTTCACCGAAGGGGATTTTTGCTGCTTGCTTGGTTTACTTTGGAAAATAAATTCAGATGATGTGATTTTTATTCTTTTTTTAATGCTAGAAATTTCTCTGTGCCCCTTTGGCAAATGAGGATTGCCGTAAGATGCCTTAAAACAATCCGTCAGGAAATGATCGCACAATTGGGCCAGTTCAGGCTGTGTCCTTCTCCTGAGATTTCTTCTGGGCCCTCTTCTGGACAGTCATTATGTAGTGACAGAAGCTGACGGACAGTGAAGGGAGGGGTCTTGCTCCTTACCTTAGTACAGACTCACATTCAACATAATCCACTACAGCCAAAACCCAGGTGATGCTAGTGGGAAGGTATGATACTGTGATTGACGGTTCAGAAGTCCGTATTTGGTCTTCCTCCCATTTCTGGTACAGAGCTCCTAAAACCCCTGGAATGTCCTAAGTGATGAACGCCACAGAGATGCCTTGCAGTACTAACGAGGTGACATTTGGACCGCACCTAAGGATGGGGGCTGGCTGCCGGTGATTCAGAGGATCGGGACTTTCACGCCCAGCCCCCCAAGCCCCACCCCTGACCTCAGTGGGAGAGAGGGGCTGAGTTCGATCACCAGTGACCAGTGATTTACTCAACCATGCTCTTGTAACGAAGGCATAAAAAACCCCAAAGAACTTGATTCAGAGAGCTTCCGGACTGGTGAACATGGGGCGATTTGGAGAAGGTGGAGCTTGGAGCAGGCATGGACGCTCCTGACGCTTTCCCCCAAATCTTGCCTTTTGCATCTCTTCTATCTGGTTGTTCCTGAGTTATATCCTTATATAACAAACTGGCAATCTATTAAACAAACTGTTTCTCTGAGTTCTGGGAGCTGCTCTAGCAAATTAATCAAACCATCAAATCCAAGGAAGGCGTCGTGAGGACCTCTGATGTACAGCCAGTTGGTCAGAAGTATAGTTAACAACTGGGACTTGCAATTAGTGTCTGAAGTGGAGGGCACGGGGTGGGGGGATGGGGTAACTGGGTGATGGACATTATTAAGGGGGGCACGTGATGTAATGAGCACCGGGTGTTATGTAAGACTGATGAATCACTGACCTATACCTCTGAAACCAGTAACACATTATATGTTAATTAACTGAATTTAAATTAAAAAAATAATAAAATGGAGGGCAGTCTTTTGGGACTGAGCCCTTCACCTGGGGGATCTGATGCTACCTCTGGGTCAGTAGTGTCAGAATTGGGTTGAACTGTAGGTCACCCGATTGGTGTCAGAGACCTGCTTGGTAAGGGGAAATACCACACACACCCAAACACACACCCCCCCACCACACCCACTGTTGACCAGAAGTGTTAGGTTTTCTACGCTCCCCAAAACCCTAAGGAACTTTGAGAAGCCTCCTTTCTCTGACAATCTCCTTCAAGCCCTCTGGTCACATCATATCCGAATACCATGTGGAAGTATGACAGCCATTTCTGTCTGTAGCTCTCTGGCTGTGTTACGAATGAAAAAAAGAAGTGAATCATGCAACGTATCCAATGCTTTTCTTACTCCACACTGAGTCTACCCCACACCTTCCCGCAAATTGTTCACAATAAACTCGTGTTTATTGAGTTCATTTATGTTAACAGATACAGGTCCCTTCAAATAAAAACAGATTTTACATTTATTATTAATGTAACATGCTATGTAAATGTACAGGAGCCTGAGGAAGGCATTCTAGTACCTGGCACAGCGCCTACTACAGTGTTTGTTAGTACTTAGCTTTCCTTTATTATGGCTTTTAAAAAATAGTTTTTAAAAAAGTGCATGATTCCTTTGGACCACTGTTCAGGAAAGTTTAGAGATAAAACCTTTCCAGTCATTTGCATACAGGTTCAGATTAGAAAAAGTCAAATACTGAGAGAAAATATATTTTCAATTAGCTCAATTTAAATATGGGGTCATTCCATGTAAATATCTCATCTGAATTTTCAGTGTTTCACTTATTTGATGTGCTCATTCCATTCCGCTAGGTCTTATTTCAGTACTTTCTCAACTATTCCAGATAAGATATAAAAAGAATTCAACCCCTGTCAGTTATTTTATCTGTCTTCATGCAACCAGGATGAGAAACTTCTGCTCTCTACACGAGTCACGATAATTCCCCCAATCCACTAGCAAGGAGAAAATAATACTGTAGTTCAGAATAAGGCCTGCATGGCTGTGAACTTGCAAATTCTGATTCCAGAGCACTTCATTTCAGCAAACAAGGCCTGATTCCTGTCAAAATTCAACCGTGGTTGAGAAACACTGAGGTCACAGATAGAGCCACAAATGCAGAAGTTATAGACACTGACTAAAGTACCCCCGGTAACGTGGCAGGGTTTTCAGGTGTACCTTTCCTTCAACAGCAAATGCACTCAGGAGGTTCAGGAGCATGGTTCAGTTTTTCTCAAAGCATTGTGACATTTGCTGAATCTTCTTCCACTAGGCCTGCTGAGACCAGAGAAACCGATCACATTTTTCAAGCATGCTTTGTATCAAGGCTCTGAAATCCGAAAGAAAAGAAACAGGTGCACTTAGTTTTCATTGTTTTTTCTTTATAAAAAACTTCTTAAAACCTACAAAGAATGAAAGGATTCAAAAAACTGACCGAGTCTGTGCATCAAAAGACACGGTCAATGGAGTGAATCATGTATCTGATAAAGGGTTAATATCCAGAATATACAAAAAATTCATACATCAAAAAAACAATGCAATTAAAAAATAGGCAATGGACATGAATAGACAGGTCTCCAAAGATGATATACAAACAGCCAGCAAGTGTATGAAAAGATCCTCAACATCATTAATCATTAGGGAAATGCACATAAAAACCACAGTGACTTCTCACCTCATGCCCATTAGGGACGGCTACTGTCAAAAAGAAAATAACTAGTGTTGGTGAGAATATGGAGAAAATGGTACACTTGTGCACTACTCGTGGGAATGGAACATGGTGCGACCCTTATGGAAAACAGTATGACAGCGCCTCAAAAAATTACAAATAGAATTCCATGTGTTCTAGCGATTCCACTTCTGGGTACACACCCAAAAGAATTAGAAGCAGGGTCTCAAAGAGACATTCGTATATCCGTGTTCAGAGCAGCATTACTCATAATAGCCACGAGGTAGAAGCATCCCCAGTGTCCATAAGACAGATGAATGGATAAACAAAACGTGGTATATCCACACCATGGAGTATTATTCAACCCTAAAAGGGAAGGAAATTCTGGCACATGCTGTAATATGAATGAACCTTGAAAACATTATGCTAAGTGAAATAAAAGCCAGTCACAAAAAGACAAGCACCATATGAATCCACTTATGTAAGATACTTATAATACAGTAGTCCTCCCTTATCCACAGTTTTGTTTTCTATGGTTTCAGATACCCATGGTCCACCATGGTCCAGAAGCAAATGATCCTCCTTCTGATATATCATCAGAAAGTTAGGAATAGCCTAACACTACGTCATAATGCCTATGTCGTTCACCTCAGTTCATCTCATCACATGGGCATTTTCTCATCTCACACCATCACAAGAAGAGGGGTGAGTACGGTACAGTAAGATATTTTGAAAGACAGAGAGAGAGGAATGGAGAGAGAGAGAAAGACCACATTCACATAACCTTTATTACGGTATGCTGTCTTAACTGTTCTATTTTATTAGCTATTATTAATCTCTTACTGTGTCTAGTTTACAAATTAAACTTCATCATAGGTATGCACGTATAGGAAACAACATAGTACATATATGGGTTCAGTAAATCCATGGTTTCAGATTTCCACTGGGGGTCTTGGGGAACATATCCCCCTTGGATAAGGGGAGACTACTGCAGTCAAAATTAGAGACAGAAAGCAGACAGGTGGTTGCCAGAAGCTGCACGGAGGGGGTAATGAGGAGTTGTTTAATGCGTAAAGTTGAAGTTTTGCAAGATGATATGGATATACTTAACACGACTGAACCAAACACTTAAAAATGGTTAAGATGGTAAATGTTACGTTACCTGTATTTTACCACGATGAAAACAAAAACCAAAAAAGTCCTGAGACAATTTGAACTTTGGTACTAGTAACTGTCTTTGAGAACTACTACATGTCAACTTTGGGTATTCACACTGATCTGCACAGTGTCTCGGTCATGACTGTGAAACACGTTACTTTAGGCTCATCCCTCAATCGCCTTCATCAGCAGATGAGTCTCAGCCCCCTCAGCTGTTAGTGACCAGCTGGGGCTGAATGATCTCTAAAAGCTCCATCCCCCTTCTGAAAATCTGTGAGCATCTACGTTCCCCAAGCCCCTGTGGAAAGGGCATGACAAGTATTACCTCTGCCTTTTCTCAGCAATCCTTAGGATATCGCAGGTTCTGGTAAACCTCTCTGACAGCTCCAGGGTCAAACCACATTCCTGTAGCAGTGACCAGGCCCGATCTGGGCCCATGGCCTTAGCTAACAGGAGTGCCACATTCTCCACGTTGATGGGGGGAGGCCCATCACTGAAGTTTCCATTTGGCGACTTCTGGGGGTTCGTGCTCTTGTTCTGTACGAGATGTAGCAGAAGCTTCCATTCCTCCACAGTCTCTGGGATCCAACCTACGCACACATACAGAAACACACACGTCGGCTCTAATGGCCCTTAGAACTCTGCCTGTGTATAGGAGATGGTCAAAACCGCTTGTGAAAACGTTTACTACCAAAACCTAAGAACGTACCTCATCATCCTAACACAAAGTTGCTTTCTGAACATTTGCTGAATAAATAATGATAAGGAGAAGTCACAAAATTAGTTCCAAAATTCTTCATTCACTTGCTCACTCAGGAATTTCCCAGGTATAGTCTAGGCTAGGCACCCAAGGTGCAGTGAGGGACCAACCAGACATGATGAGCCCTGCACTCTTGTGGAGCTCACAGTCTAGTAAAGGGGGCAGAACCTTAGATAAACACAGAGATAAATCTGTACGTATAAACTGGGCTCGGTGCGATAAAAATCAGGGAACCAGGGTCCCTGGGTGGCTCAGTCCTTAAGCATCTGCCTTCAGCTCAGGTCTTGAGTCCCACATCGGGCTCTTTGCTCGGGGGGAGCCTGCTTCTCCCTCTGCCTGCCACTGCCCCTGCTTGTGCTCTCTCTCTCTAATAAATAAATGAAGTATTAAAAAAACAAAAAGATCAGGGAACCATTAGAGAGAATGGCAGGTTTGGGGGAGGATCTGAGAAGGGCTCCATTAGGATGGGACAGGTAAGCAGAGAGTTTAAAGACCAGGCAAGCTTAGAGAGCACGTGCCTGTGGCTCACATACGGGCAGCTTGAGGTGGCAGGGCGTCAGGAACGGAAGGTGAAGGAGCCTGCATTTCCGGCAAAGGAAACATGGAAGGTCACTTGAGACAGGACAGACCTTGAATTCAAGGAACTCAAAGAAAGGCCTACAGTGCACAAAGGCCTGGATTTTATTCTGAATTCCACGTAAGGCGCTTCAAGGAGGAGAGCCACATCACCCAATTTTTGTAAAAGAACGCTTCTGGCTGCTATAGGGCAAATGGATTAAAGGTGGGAGAGAATGGAAACCAGTCGACTAATTCTGAGGTTACTGCCGCCATCTAGGCAAGTAGCTAGGACCGGAGCTGGTGGTGGAGCAAAAGTTAAGTACACAGATCTACATTTGGCAGTAAAACCAACATGCCTTGAAGAGTGATTAATATGAGTTATGGGGAAACAGAAGTGTCTAGAAAAGACCCCCATTTAATATACCAAGGGTAAGAACAGCTGCTATTATTACTTTACCAAAATATTCAGACTATCTGGGCAGAAAAGATTTTAAGTGATACTTATTTTCTTTATGCTTCCCGAATTTTCAGTGTTTATCTATTACAATAAACATCGTGTTGTAACTTGAAAAATATAAGCCATGTCTATCTTAACTATTCTGGTTATTTTTCAGGAGCGTATCCATGTCTACAGCTCTAGTCCGGCAGAACCACCTGGCCCTCTTCTTCATTTCTGAAACAGATGATCTCAGTAATTTTTGCAATAGTTGGGACATCAGAAGCTAACACTTGCCAGTCAATTGGCTTCCCTGCCCTGTTCGAACTTTCCCTCTCCTACACCAACAGGGCTGAACAGGCTGTAGGTCACACTGCTGAATAAAGGACCCCGATGTCACGCACTTGGCATCTTTGCACTGAGACGAATAAAGCAACACTACAGAACAGCCAAGACAGAGTCTCAGGCCTCAGATATCAGTGTGTCAAAGCGTGGCCTTCTGATTATCATTTTATCTTTGTTGGATTGATGAAAATTTTAAAAAAAAAATTATTTTTTAAAGATTTTATTTATTTATTTGACAGAGAGAGCGATAGCGAGAGCAGGAACACAAGCAGGGGGAGTGGGAGAGGGAGAAGCAGGCTTCCCGCTGAGCAGGGAGCCCGATGTGGGGCTTGATCCCAGGACCCTGGGATCATGACCTGAGCCGAAGGCAGATGCTTAGCGACTGAGCCACCCAGGCGCCCCCCAAATTTTTTTTAATTATCTAAATACCTGTGAAGGCTTAGGAAAAGCTGACTGCCAGTCCACTTTAAGTTCATTTGGATGATATCTAACTTTTGGCTGTGTAAAAGCCTAGTGCTGAGAGAAGAATCTGAACACAAACTTTAGAGAGAGTCAGACCTGGGCCTGAACACTTGCTCCACCAGTGGTATGGCTTTGGGGAAACTGACTCTCCTTCCTCTAGGCCTCAGTTATGACTTCTGTAAAACAGAAATAACAGGAACTACGCCAACGGCTTGTTATCTCATTTAAACGGCAAACGAAAAAGGACCTAGCAAAGTGCCTAACGCACAGGAAGCATTCGTTAATAGAAAAGTTATTATGATTTCATAATATACTACGTGGTATAGATAAACGAACAAAACAAACAAACAACAACAACAAAACAAACCTCTAGGACGCCTGGGTGGCTCAGTTGGTCAAATGTCTGCCTTCGGCTTGGGTCATAGTCCCAGGGTCCTGGGATTGAGTCCTGCATCGGGCTCCCTGCTCAGCGGGGAGCCTGCTTCTCCCTCTCCCTCTGCCCCTCCCCTTGCTCCTGCTCTCTCTCACTCACTCTCTCTCCAATCAAATCTTAAAAAACAACAAGAAAAAACAAACCTCCACAAATCTGACAGCTAGCTGGAATTATAGAATTACATACAGGATCATCAAAATGTTCACCAAATTTCTTTATTGAAAAGTCTGCAGTGACTTCTAAAATAGTACAGCCAAGAGTAACCAGTTGGGATTTACATACCATTGTCCCCTTCCATCAGGCTCATATCATTTAGGCACACAATGTTGGTGAAGGCCTCTCTTCTTCTTTCCAGCTCCAAACAAAGAGAAAGATATCCAGGCCAGAAACTTTAATTTAGAGAACCAAGTGGAAGAAAGGAATCAAAACAGTGAATTTATCTGGAGCTGTGCTGTCCAATAGAGTAGATGCTAGCCACATGTGGCTACTTAAATTTAAATTAAGTAAAAAGTTCTTCAGCTGACCAATCCATATTTCAAGCTTTCAATAGCCTAAGTGGCTAGTGGCTACCATATTGGACGATGTAGTAGAATATTTCCATTATCATAGACAGTTCTATTAGACAGCCCCATCTGGAGTGTTTAAGAAAAAAAAGAATAAAAGCTAGAGATAAATACTGACATTTGAGGCCAAGCACCAATTATGAAATATGTAACCTTAAATACTTTATAAACTTTCAGATTTCTCCCCCAAATATGCAAACTATGGAAGTTTTCCTTGACTCTTCGCCCTCCTTCATTTGCTATACCCGTTGTCTTTAAGTCTCACTACATTTTTCTGCAGAATGTCCCATTTCTTTCTCATGTATGACACCAGAAATGATCTCCAGAAAGCTCCATTTTTATCATGTCATTTTTGTACCAAAGTCTAAAAGGTCTCTACTGATAGCTAAATTCTTCTGATGAGCTTTCAAGGTCCTACATGATCTCATCACCCACCACACCCGACTAGTCTCATCTCTTATTATCAATGAACAAATATGTATCAAGTACCTACCACGAACTGAGGCATTATGAGGAAAAAGGAAGACACAGGTCCCTAGCTCCAGAAGATGATAATCCAGGTGGAGCCATAAGGTAACACGGCCAAGCAATAAAGAACCGATACGTGGTCCAGACAAAAAGCAATGTCAGTTTCTCCTGCTCCTGATGTTTCTCTCGCCTGCCCTGCCCTCCTCTTGGGCTCCTTTATCAATACAAATCCTGTCCAGCCTTCAGGGCTTTCACCTCCAAAGTCTCACCCCCTCCTGAAGTCCTTCACCAGCACTTCTACTGAGCACATTCTGATCTCTCCCTTCTTGAGAACCCTGCATCAATTGTAACTTATCACACAGTCTGGTGCTTAATTAAATACCACCTCAGTGCCTGAGAACTGGGGCTAGCTACTAAGGACCAGGGGGAGAGAGGAATTAGCAAGGGCCGTCTCTTCTACACAAAGAAAAAATATGCACAAAATTTAAAAAGATGTTTACTCTACTATCACTTAAAACAAAAGGTACTTTTCCATAGTAAAGAGAATTCCCAAATGATAAAGCATACCAACTCAAGTCCTTTGCTACAGAGCTATTAACTAAGATGATTCTAATCTTAACTTCAGCTTCTAAAAAATTCTCACTTACCCATGAGACTTACAGATGTCAGTCATTTTCTCTTTGGTTGTAAAATCTGCAGGTAGTTTAATGAGATGAAGCATCAGCTGGCTATAACCCCACGAACACAAGTGTGAATGAGGCCTGTGAAATGAAAAGCTCTCAGTAAATGGAATAGGAAATACATTCTACAAAATGTTTATTCATCATCTAATAGGTAAGAACAGAGTTTAATTTTATTTGTTCCATTACTATTGTATTTTTCAAACATTTCTACTTGCCTTTTGAAAAATTAAAAATAGCTATTTTTCCTATACAAATACCTGTTTATTTTTTATTCTATTTTTTTTTTAAAGCTCTTTATTTATTTGTCAGGGAGAGAGAGCGCGCGCACAAACAGGGCAAGGGGCAGGCAGAGCAGGCAGAGGGAGAAGCAGGCTCCCCGCCGAGCAGGGAGCCCGATGCGGGACTCGATCCCAGGACCCTGGGATCATGACCTGAGCCAAAGGCAGATGCCCAACCGACCTTTTTTAAAGGCCTTCTTTATCACCAGTCTACAGTGGTACTTGAAATTTCTCTGTGGTTCTGTAAACATTTGGTGCTTGCTTGCTTGCTTATATGTCCTTAAAGTTTTGGGAATAGTTTGCTGGTTGACTGAGGTTATTAATCACAATATTCAAATATGTAATTTTAATTTATGTCAATTCTGTTTTTCCAGTAAAATCGATTACCTGTTTATTTTTTAAAAATAGACATTTTAAGTAATCAAAAGCAAAGGAAAGAAGCCTATAATTCATTCATCACTCACAGACAGCCATTGTATGTCCTTCTAGAGCTTTTGTCTAGGCATATAAGATAGGCACTTTGGGGGGCTTTTAAAAAGCTTCTCCTAGAGGAAAACACAAGGAACATTTCTAATACATTACATGTATCAGTGCGTATTTTTTTATGAATAGTTTTTTTTCTTAGTCCCAAATCAAGCTATGTCTAGAAATTTTCCAGGAAAAAAACATACAATTTTCTCCCTCTAATACAGATTGAATCATCAAGGACTCTTAATGTGGATCCATGAAAGAGCTTCAGGGGGTCAGTTTAACCTGAAATCATGTGCAAAATTGTGCAGGGATATGCATTTTTCTGAGAGGAATCATCAGATTCTTGTAAGATCTGTAAGTCCAAAAATGTTCAGAACCACTAAGAAGTACACTCAGTCTCATTACTATCGTGACTTGAGTCAGTCTCTTCCACAGCTGTTCCTGAAGAAAGCCCAGAATGCTACATGTGAATAAAGCCATTTCATTCCAGAAGAACATCACAGCTTAGACAGAGAACTTCTGTACCTGGGGTTTCCTTCATTGTCCATCGTGCTTGTGCTTGGGGGAGCATCGTGGGACACGGCCCAAAGCAGCCAATCCAATCTCAAAGACTCTGGTTGTAGAAGGGACTCAAGGAAGGATGGCCTAAAAGAAAGTTGGAGACAAAATCACCAATCTTCACGCTGAGAAAAGAGACCTAAAATGTGGGAATGTGAAGAAAATGTTATTAGGGGATCAAAATAGTAGATGAAAATGCTCTGCTACAAGATGTCTAGAAATGCAGGTGAAAATCTGACAGCCTTTTAAATGAACAGGTGAGCTCAAGATAACAAGGAAAATGTCAAAGGGCCAAAAAAACGAGGGACAGAGAGAGGAAGGAGGCCAGTATGGCACATGTAAATCAATCAGAGGAAAAAAGGTGGTGGTGGTGGGGGGGGGGGGATGTTGCTACTTTCAACAACCAAGGGCCATGCAGAAATAGGCAATGAGGCCTCAATCTAAAAAAGCAGCAAAGCTGGAACTGAGATCCACAAAAAGATGAGACCCCGCAAAAAGCTGGGATGCTATCAACAAGGAGGTGGCAATAAATCCACTCACCAGCCCAGACAACAAGGAAACTTACCTGTCTTAGCGGAGGACCTGAAGCAGGGCTTTAAATTTACTCTGATCATCTGAGAATCCCTGGGGGGGTGGGGGGGGGGGGGAAGAGAATGTGGTCTGCACACATTTACAGTGCGTGCTGTGGACTGTGACAGAAGGGTAATGACTGTAATCATCCTCTTCCATAGTAGGGGCCTCAGCTCGGTGGCAGTTGGCAGTAAAAACGTTACAATGGCTTCTAAAAGGGAAACAATGCCCTATCAAAGCAAAGGGGAGTCTGCAAATGTTCTCGCCTTCTCACCGTTGATCTTCAGGCCCCGATTTCACCAGACTGTCTAAATAGGCCAAAAACTGAGCAGGATGATGATGACAAAGTTGCATGACATCCGAAGGCAAAACAGATGGGTAAAACCTGATTAAGGACCGAAGGGCAGATTCTCCAAACTTCTCATACAACCTGCATTTAAAAACAAGTTAGTCCCCAACTTCAGTGAGATGATGTAACTTGGTTACATGTCTAAGCACTTATTAGAAATAAAAATAACAAGGCAACTGAGTAAAACTTTAGAGATTAAGACACAAAAAAATACGCGCTTTATTCATATAAACAACATATATGACAACTTACCGGGCAGCATAAGCAATCAACAAAGGATTGTCAAAGGGAACTGAATCATTCAATAACTAATCATGTTGGTAAGTCTCCTTCTTCCATCTCCATATATGCAGGATTGGAACTTGCCATTTCTGAAAGATAAAGCACACCTTTTCCTTTCATCTCATAGCTATAAATATTCAGTTCATGAATACATTCATTCAACAATCATCAGTCATGGACCTCCTGGGTGCCTGGCACAATGTTTAAGCAGTGAAGGACAAAAAAAAGAACAAGACACACAATCCCTACTTTTAAAGACCTTAAACTCAAATTGGGAGGCAAAGCACATTTTAATTTTTTAAACAAGAGAAGAACACATAACCAATATATAAGCCACTATCACCCTCAAAAAAGGTAACATATATTAGAATATATGTGTTATATACTAAATCAATAGAATATATATATCTGTGTATATATATATATATGTACACACGTATATATACAGTATATATCATCAAGGCCAAATTTGTCATTTTTCCTAGAACCAGTGCCCTCTAGCCCATCTGTTTGAACAAAATAAAGTTAAAATTTCACCTATTTTTAATAAACATCAGTTACAGCCAAGTGTGAGTGACGATCTAGTTAAAACTACTTGTAGTTTAAAGTATATATATATAATAATACACACACACATGAATCTACAGTGAGGTTTTTGTTTTTGTTTTTGTTTTTTTAAAAGATTTTATTTATTTATTTGAGACAGAGAATGAGAGAGAGAGCACATGAGAGGGGGGAGGGTCAGAGGGAGAAGCAGGCTTCCCCCTCTGAGGGTTTTTTTTTTTTAAGATTTTAAGTAATCTCTACACCCAACGTGGGGCTCAAACCTACAATCCAGAGATCAAGAGTTGCATGTTCCACCGACTGAGCCAGCCAGGAGCCCCTAAAATGAGTTTTTTGAAGTAGTTTTCAACTGGCTCTGAAGACCATTCCCCAAGAACAGTTCCAAAAGCTGTTTTCCTTAACTACATCATTAGCAAAAAGGTGGAACCTGTTCAGATCATTTCTAAAAACCCAACCTTGCATTTCTGATACATGGTTTTTAAAAATCATTTTTCCCCAGTTTCATTATTGCGCCTATTTGATTGTGTCAGGCAGTAAGTACTTGAACAAATTCAGAGAAGGCAACCATCATTTACAGCTGGAGATGTGAGGGCAAGCTTTATAACTGGGTGGGGGCTAAGCCAAACATCTCCCCCTAAATTCAAGCAAGCAGCTGCATCATCTCAAAGTACCCAACCCACTGGCTCTAGCCAGCTCTGGTTACAAGTTAACAACCCCTCAGGCTGATCATACTCTTTTCAGGTTGGGTGTGATCACATAAGAGACAGATATTGCAAAGTTCCAGTAAGTAACAACGTGAAAAAAAAAAAAGTAATGTGAAACATAATAATGTGAACCTACTGGAGGAGAAATAAATTTTCTTATTTCATGTAAAAGACAGTCTACCTCAACTCAGAGAAAGACTGAAATCATTTCTTATGCTTTTAACTGCTAAATGTGAACTGAAGCAGAACAATAACTACAGATCATGTTTCTAGAAAACTTGAAGATCTTTAAGTCAGACAATATAAAAATGTATCTGTACTTGTGATTGTTAACTTTTGATAAATCAATTATTCAAAAACGGGTCTATACAGTGGAAAAAGCATGCATGGTCTGAAGTATGAGAGCCGGTTTCCATAGGAGGATGACACACACTTTCAGTCACGTGTGAAATGGAGACTGCTGTTAATCCACCAAAATCCCTGAGACGTGCAAGCTCTTCACCCGTACCATTCCCTTCCTTCTAGACACCTGGATAGCTTACATTTCCCAGTCTCTTTCACAGGTAAGGAGACCATGTGATAAAATTCTCACCAATGGAACATGAACAGGAGAGATGTCAGGCATTACAAGGTCAGGCCCCTAAGAGGGCATAGCATGTTTGCCCGTTCCACATGCATTCCCCTGGACACAGCAATCCATTCTCAATCACAAGCCCACAGGAAGATGGAGTTCAAAGAAATGGAAGAAACTTAGAACCCTGGATTACCACATGGAAGAGAGCTTCCCACTGACCTGGAACCTGTCCTGGAGTGACAGGAGCAAGAAATGAACTTCTATTGTATCCGAGTTATTAGGAGATATTTACTACAGCAGTTTAGCCCACTCAACTATTACAATCTCTCTGTGCCTCAGTTTCTTCACCCATTAAATGGAATAACACCACCTACTCTGAAGACACTTGTAAGGAAGAAATGAGATGATGCCTATGAAGTGTTTAGCATGATATCTGACGCACAGTAAGTACTCAATAAATGGCATAGATTATCTCAGCGTTAGTACATTACATAAAGGATTTTCTTGTTTTTATATATCTGCATTTATAGAACGTTTTACTTTAACCCCAACTTCTCCAACATTGCTATATACATTTTCTGAGTATGACTGTGAGAGAAATAAAATGAATTTCTTATAATACCATTGCAAATGAAACCAATGTTTGAAGAAGTATTAAAAATTAAGAAACTGAGGGGGAAACGGAATGGAGGTTGCCCAGAATAGAAGCGATTTTGTACTTAAGTCTTTTTCTTTAAATGTGAAAATGCTAAGATGCTATTGTTCTCTACACTAATTTCTATTTGATAAGGCAATCTGATTATTACCTGTCAATCCTTCAATAAAAGTATCCCAAACACAAGGACTGCAGGCGTAACCAAGCTTGATACTCTCCTTTGCTCTTTTCAAGTCCAAGAGAAAAAAGTACTTCTTTATGAACTGGCAAGCCAGAATTAGGCTTCCCAAAGACTAATGTAGAGGGGCCACTGAGAGACAAGGCGCAGAGGCAGAGAATGCGACAGGACACAGGTGACTGGGCAGTGAAGAGATGGGGACACAGAGAAGTCTAGAAATAGCAACAAAACACTTGGAGAGGCCTCAGCATGCTGAGAGTGAGAGGCGGAGACAGTGTGAGAGGTCTTATCTGCCGTGCTGTGGATATCAAAGGGGAGAGCCCATGCAGACCCTATACGCCCTGGCAGATTGGAGACCCCGTTATTGGTGAGGGGCCAGTCAGGAGACAGAAACCAGGCAGTAATTTGGAGGGGCTGGTTAACATAAAGAATTATTATATAGTTGCAGAAGATTGGCTATTAAGGGATAAAAACGAAGGATAATTCAGGACGGGCCCTCACAAGGCTGCCATTAAGGTCTTGTTAGAAAGTGTGTGGCCATGGTCCTTTGCTTGGCAGAGAAAGTTTGCTGGGTGCCACAAGTCAAAGTTGATGAACAAGAAGGCCCCCACTGAGGTGACAACAAAACTCGCCAGATGTTGCTGATGTCACTAAGCCACCATTTCCTGACATGTTTTGTTCCCGGGAGCTTTTGTAGAGCAGTGCAAATAAGGTGGAGAAAAACTGCCTTGGACCCGTTCCTCAGATGGCAGGGACAGAAATTGGTTTTCATTGGATTTGGAGGTGCTGAGAAAACAACAGAAGATCAAGGTGGCAGTGGCCGGAGCTGGATGCCACAGTCCCGTCCTCCCACGGCTGGGTTCCCTGCCCCCAGGAACAGAGACCACCGAGGAGCAAAACAAAGGGAACCAGACGCTGAGGACAGAGAAGGTAAGAGGACCCCACGGATGGCAGTGAGGGGCCTGGACACGGAAGGACCTGGAAATAGCACCCGTGCAACCAGAGGGGCCTGGACAGGGGAGCGGGTCTGATCGGGGAGGGGTGGGTGTGGGGCGTCTGTCCTGTGTCATGCTGAGATGGTCCCCCTACACCAAACCCGGGGGCCCGGGCTCCGCCCGCACGGGGGTGTCCATCCATCTCCCCTGGGGAACAAACGAGCAGTCCTTACACCCAAGACTGAGTAACACACACTTTTCAATAGTCAATCTCTTCAAGCATTTATTAGACACCTATTAGGTGTCCTCCACCAGCCCCCGGGGACAGAGAACTCAGTGACTGGGTGTCCCTGCCCTCAGGGGACTCACAGCCCAACTCCTGAGGGCAGAACAAAGAGGAAGCTCAGTACTTGTCAGGCAGGCCAGGGGGTCGGAAGTAGTTGGGGTCTTTGCCACTCCGGCCCCATTCATTGGCAGCCTGGTCAGCCTTTGAGTCCTCCACTCCGTGGCCACTGTCTCCATACTTAAAAAGGTCTGTGACTCTCTGAGAATTCTCTCTGGCATCGCTGGAATGGAGGGAAGCAGGTAAGAGATTAATCAGGGGCTGATGAACAACACCTCCACCCTTCCTATCTCTCCTCTTTCCAAGAAACTAATGAATCTACAAGAGGCCAGGTTTAGAGACGCTAAACACTGATCATTTCTGGGTACAGCCCAACTCAGCCTGGCAGATCCCCTTGTGCTGGGGAACCAGCACCCATGGGGGAGGGTGGAAATCACAGCTTGGCATGCTCAGCTCACCCATCCTTCCAACCCCAGCAGCTATGTTACCTGATCACTTTAGCAGCCCAGGCACCCCCAGGGCCCCTTTGTGCAGCATCATAGTTCCCCCGGGCATGAAAATATTTGTCGGAATTTTTGTAATTGGCTTCTCTCATGTCAGAGTAAGCTCTCATCATGTCTCTAGCCCCTGAAAGGAAAGAAAATAAAAGTGATCATCTCCTGGCAAAACAGAGAAAAATTTTCCTCCCAATGATTCTAAGATTTCAGTCTTTTGACAAAAACCTTTGAGATTATACTGGCTGAGATACATATTCCTTTACTTTTCACTCCCCTGGGTTAATGTTAGGAGAATCACACCGGGTGCAAGTTTTCTTCTTTTGATTCCATTCTAAGTACTGTTGCTACTTGGTTTTTGGCTGTGTGTGATGTGTATGAACAAGAGGGGGATGGTCTTTAAGGGATGCTTCGTTGTGCAATGAACCTCTACCTGGAAAGGGCAGGGAACCCTCTGACTGGGGCGTGAGGACAAAGGCAAGTCTGAGGGAGGCTGCTGACCCGGAGGGCTCCCAACCTAGTAAAGGGGAGCGATTCAGCGCTGTGGGCAGCGTGAAGACAGCTCAGTTCTGTGTACATCCGAATGTCTGGGGCAAATGTGGCACCAGGAGACTGTCAGAACTCAATCATCAGGTGATAAAGGTGAATTCTCCCAAGAGAGCTTCACAGCATCAAATGCAGAGAAAGGGCAACTACCCCAGCTCTAAAGTTCAGCGTTCTCCCCAGGAAACTGAAGAGTATTGCCCTCTACACAGTGCTTATGCAGACAAACTGAGAAAATACACGTGTAACTTCTAGAAGGTTGTAGGTGCTCACTATGCTATCACTTCTCTGGGCCTTAGGAAGGCTGGGACAAAAACAGTAAAGGGACTAGGCTCAGAGGAAGACCGGAGAGTTACTGACTGAAGGAATCCGATCAGGCTACAATAAGATGAAGACTTTCAAAAAGTAACTTAATAAGCAAAAGAGAAAAATCTACTGTCAAGTTGTAATCCTAGTTTAATATCCATGCGATCCCTTATCTCCATTTTATGCATTTATTAATTCTGGTGTTTAGAAAGAGCATTCTTATTGAACCTACTCCCTCCAAGTTACAGATTTAAATAGGTGGCTGGAGGCCCCTTGCTTACGAAGTCCTTCCAAAATGCCTGACATACTGGTCCCTTGTGGGGGCAAAACTGGAGGCAGTGGTTCCCAAGCTTGAGTGGGCACAAAAAGCCCCCGGGGTGCTTGGTAAAGGCCAGATTTCAGGCTCAGCCCCGAAATGATGATTCAGCAGAGGGGGGTGTGTGCTCCCAGCATCTGCATTTCACAAAGCACCCCAAGCCCCAGGCGATTCTCATGCACGCGGTCCTAGAACAACCCTTTGAAAAACCTTGACCTAAAGATGGAAACACATTTGTAGTGGTGCCTGTGAGAATTTAGAAAGGAGTGACAGCAAACTCTTAAAACAGTCATCAGTGACTCTCACAGAAAAAGAAAAAGAAAAGAAATGATTTTGTGAAATACACAAATCTTGCCGCTGAGTCTGACTACTGAGGCGCATGTCTCTTGCTCTCCTGCGCAGCCAGGTCTCAGGCCCGCAGAACCTGCATCATGGAATCCTTGTGCCTTTCGTTGCGGGGAGAGGAGCTCTGCAGAGTGGCCTTCCGCCTCTCCCACAGCCTGACTATCTGCCATTCACTCAGATAAACAAGAGGGTTGTGTGTTCCCAAACCCCGCAGTCGGCCATGCGCTCTCTGCTGTGGGAGGCAGGACAGTCCTGTCCTAGCAAAGTCTGGGGGGGCTCCACCACTGGGGTGAACCCTGCTCTGCTTGAGGACTTTGTCAGACGCTTCATCTCTTTGTGCCTCAGGTTCTCTGTTAAGGGGTGATGGTGCCTACATCGCAGGATCACAGATTAAAACCTGAGGATGAAAACCAGTTCATCCATCCACGTGAAGCTCTTAGAACAGTGCCTAGCACGGGCCAAGCTCCGTTCATCTTGGATGGGATGACTAAGTGCACAAGTTTGAGGCACCCCTTCCTGGCTGCCTGAGACCCAGCCATGAGCTGTCCCTGCTTTCCCACTAGGCGGCACTCGACTCCCACTTGTAGGAAGGGAGCCGGCACCCTGGACCCCACATCTATCTCTTCCTGCTCCTGCTGCAAGTTGAGGCCCAAACTTTATGTGACCTCCAGCCTGGGGATCTCCATGGAAGAGTGCACTGCCGCCCAGAAAAGCCAGGGGTGGAAGGATAGGACACCTGTGGTTTAAGGGGAAAAGCCACACGCAGTAAGTAAGCCCTAGAGACTTAAGGCACAGTATAATGAGCACCAAACAATATTGTATCATAATTATCAAACGTGCTATAGCCTAGAATTGAAGTATTTCAATGACTAAAAGGAAAGGGAAATTATGTAACATGAGAGAGGTGCTAATTATAGCTACAAAGGCAATCAGATTGAATATAGGAATGCATCAAATTAACACGACATACACCTTAAACATACATGATGTTATATGTCAGATACAGTTCAGTTAAAAAATCAAGAAATAGAAAGCCTGTGAAACTGCTATCTTGAAAACCACACTTCTTCGCGTCCCACTTGCGGCCTTTGCCCTGTGTGGATGTGGCCTCTGCTCTGGGGAATCCTGGAGGGAGGCCAGGTGCGGCCTCCCCCTGACCCCCATGCTTTGGGCCTTACCTTGACCAGCTTCCCTGAGGAAGGTTAACCAGCTTTGGCTGCTGACGCCCAGGACCAGGGAGCACAAGAGGATGCCCAGGAATAGCTTCATCCTGCTGCAGAGTCAAAGAGACACACAAAGATGATAGGTGTTTAGTTTTGCTTTGGATTGGTTTTTTCGGGGAGTAATGTTGATCCGATCTTGTATTCCAAAACTAAGCCACACTCAATAGTATCTATATCTGTAGATCTACACACACATACACACACACACGTGTGTACATATATACCTGTGTATGTACATATATGTGTATGTATTATATGTAGAAAGAAGTAGACAGTGCGTATACATATATTAGGCAGGTGATACGCAGATACATAGAGAGAATTCCAGAGGGTCCACGTGTCCATTTCCACTTGCCTCATTGGAATCCCAGTATGAGAGACTGCACTGCGCTTCTAATATAAACCACTTTCCCTTTCAGGCATCACCTGTGGCCCTGACACCCACTGTAAAGAAAGCTTCCAAAGAAGCATCTGGGCATTTTGTGACCATATACCAGTCTGTCGAATGAGATGAGTGAAACAATGCACAAACCTTTGCAGAATGCCTGCTCTACCCATCCCTGAACTCTCACCGAGGAAGTGCACGACTAAATCCCAGTCCCAGAAAGTATTCACATCTGCTGAATCCTAATTGTCAGGCTAGGAGATGCAGGAAGGAAGCAGAGAGCTGGGACATAGCGCAGGAATGCCGTGGGGAACGGGAGTCTGCAAAGAGAAATCGTGTTGGAAAGTTCTAGTACCTCACCTTTGGCTGTTGCTTCCCAAGGAGGCTCCTGGTGAAGCTGAGCTGCCTGCCCCTCCTGCCTGCTAAGGGTGCCCACAGTATATATACTGACGCTTTGCTAGGGGAATGAAGCGGAAGCCAGGTTTGAAGCAAAACACTGAGATTTGGGAAATTCCCCTTGGCCAGAACACAGCATCCAGAATATCGGCCTCTTTCTTCATGTCCATCTAATTTCCCAGGTTGTGCAATCTGGCAGCTTCCAGGAATGTAGCAAACGTGGGGTTTTCTGCCTGTTTTCAGTCTCACTCTTGGTGAGGAAAGGTTTCCTTCCACACACAATAATGTATTGACAATGGGTGTGAAGAGTAATCAATATTAGAAAAGAGATTTGATTGTCTCAAGAATGAGAGCGTAGAAGCCCAATGGAAGAGCAGTCTCCATTG